CACCCAGTCCAGGTTAGTTTTGTGCATTCCCTCAGTCCTGGCAGAGCAGGAACTGGGCACATCCTCAGTGTAAATGTCAGCTTCTGGAATGCCTTCCCTGCATCCTGCCCTGCCTGCAGAGCCTTCCCTTCTCATGGGTTCTGTGCTGGGAGGTCACTCGTGGTGTGACATGTTGGTGACAGCCTGAACACTGTCACTCACCTCCGAGGAGAATTCAGCTGAACAGGCTGAGCTCAGAACAGCTGACTGTGGGGGAAAAGCCATGAAAAGGGAGGGAAAACAAGGATGCTGCTCAGCCCACAGAGCCTGTTGGCCTTATCCAAATGTGTGAATTGTTGTTCCCACACCTAGCAGGATTGTTGGGAATGGCACCCTGGGCCTGCCCACTGCAGGTTTTGCAGGTGATGGCAGCAAGCATGGACCTGGTGTGGGCTTGGTACAGTGTCACTCCAGACCACAGCTCTGGCGCCTCAGCTTTCTCATAGCCTGACCTGATTCCGTTTTTAGAAGAATGGGAGTGATAGAGGTTTGAGGTTTTTAAGAATATATATATTTTTTGTCTTGATTGTCATAGTTTGGAAGTTAGGAGAAAAAAATGGGTTTTGATTTATTTTGTTTGCTGGGGATTTTTCTTTGTTGTTTTCAGAGATTTTGTTTGGGTTTTTTTCTTATGACCGAGGGAAGAAAAACCTATTGCTGTTGTGTAGTGCTTGGATCCCAGGGGACAGAATGGAAAGAAATTGCTTCTGGTAAGCAAAAATAGAAGAGCGTTCAGGAGGCTGGTGGTGGAGTGACATGACCTTGTGATGTAAAGAGCGTGTGCAAAACTGCACTTAACTATGCAGGATACTTGGTTCTGTGTCAAGAACTGCCTGCAGCATTACACAGCACCCTCAAACCTGGTTACACTGTTCTCATTGCAAAGTAGCTTTATTTGGATAACTCTCCTGGAGCTAAAAAGGATTTAGGTCACAGGAGAGATGAGGTGCTGGTAGAAAAGGGCTGAGAAGGGAGGCAATGCAAGTAGGGGGATGGATGGTGTTATTTTTAAAGGAATGTTTTAGAAATCATTGATCTGTGCTGTTTGTTAAGAGGTTTTTAGCAAGATTCCATCTCCTTCCTTTCTCAGACAGGGGAAAGGGGAGGTGATGCAGAACCTGAGAGCCCAGGGACTCCTGACAGCAGGAATGTCCCTGGGGGATGGTCACACATGGCCTGCTGTCTGTGACAGGAGAGTGACACCAGAGAGCCCAGGGGACAGCAAAGGGGCAGGACAGCAGAGAGGGGTGAAGGAAAAATGGAGCTGAAAGTAGATCATTGTGCAGAGGGAACAAAAAGGGAGAAAAAAATCCTGTGAGCTCCTGAGAAGTGGGTGGAGGTTGACATTTTGCTTATTGAAGCTCTCTCCAGCACCAAAGTGACATGGAAATGGAAATTATCTCCTTCCTCTCTGCAGGTAGAGCCTGGCCAGCAGCACACAGGTACTGCTGCAGGGATGGACAGAGCAATTCTTCATCCTCATTATTTATGGCAGAGCTGCCATTCCTTCTTCCACTGAGAGCTGTTCAGTGCAGGCTGTTTTCTCTCTGATTAATCCTCCAGAGAAAAGCCAGTTAAAAGGAGAATGAAAGACAACGACAGTGAAATGTCCTTTGGGCACGTTTGAGGATCAGCACCAGGGGAAAACCAGGAAATGTATTTATCATGAATGTGCTTTATCAGAGAATCCAAGTTCCTGTGTGTTTTTATTACTGCTTGTAGCTTTAGATTCAGTAGAAATGGCTGGGTCTGAAACATCTGCAGTTTGGGCACTGAGGCCATGCTTTGGGAAATCTTTCAGGCATACAAAATCTGTTCCTGTTCACTGCATACAGAGATGTTTTCAATTTTATTCACACCTGTGGGGTTGAATTATTCCCTGGGCACTGCTGCTGAACTGGGGACTTTATGCCACTATGGCAGAAGGAGCTTTTCTACAGACTTGTGTAGCAAGAGCAGCTTTGCTGTGAGTAGGAATTGCCCTTTTATCCTCAACTATGCCACAGGTTTGGGGTTACAATAGTTAGCTCTTAGGTTGTACATTTTTCCTGTTTCTTTGGGTTTTTAGTTTTTAGTCTCATATCATCATATTTTATATTATCCTAGCCATCTCAAAGTACTGTATTCATACTATCCCACATAACTTTCAGTAGCCTGAGGGATTTAGTTGCTGTCACTGTCTGCATTGTGGATCCATTCTGGGTGGTTTTGGCTTTGATCCTAATGATGGCAGAGAATGCCACCAAACACAACTTGATGTTAATTATTTTCACAAGCTTTAATGTTTTGGTGGTATGTGGGGAAATCCTTCATTTTCTTACACAGCAGAAAGGAAGGAAGGGGCAGCTTTTACACCATCCCTCTTCTCTCTGTAGCCTGGATTCTGAAATTGCAGTTGAGGGGTAAGGATGTTTTTTCCCCTTCAAAAACAGAGGAGCACTTGGCAAATAATTTCTGACAGGGCCACCAAATGGTCACTAGACATTCTTAGGCAGCTCTTGATTTATTTGGCAAGTTGTGAGAGGCTCTGTGGTGTGTTCCCTGTCCTCTGGCCAGCTTGGTGTTGAAATCCTTTATTCTGCATGGAGAGGTCTCCTCCATCCCTTGCCAAGCAAAGGAGAGCAATGCCAGCCAGCAGTAAGGCTGACATGTACATTTTCAATTTTCATAATCGAATCTTTTGAGCAAATCCTGGAGGAGTGAAAAGATTTCAGAAGCTGCAGCTCTGCAAATGTGACCACGGGGAGCCTGTTAAACAGGAGGCTTGGGAGGCAGGAGGGAGAGACTCTGTGTCATGAAGCTGCATCTCAGGGGTGCTTGGACTTGATGAAAAGCCCCTGATTTTCATCCCTCTGATAATGAGAAGTTCCACACCTCAGCACAGACACATTTTAAAGCACTGAGGTGCCTCAAAGCACATTTGTCTCTAAAACACAGGGATTTCAAAGCATAAAAATTTGCTTGGGTAAATAAGTACATCCAGGGTGAAGGAGGACCCTGGCTGGGGTTGGGTCAGGCACACAGGAGTGTTGGGAGCAGGATGCAGCAGGAGCCATTCCCTCCTGTCTGAAATATAAAATAGCACCTTCCTTCTGCCTCACCTTCCAGCCTTTCCCCTTGGGCACTGCTGTTGCCCCACACCTTGCTGAGAGCAAAGCAGAGAGTCCTGGAGTGAGAAACCAGAGTTTTGCCATCATTTTCACGTTTCTGTGTACAGAACATGCCCTGGGCAGCAAACAGGGCCAGGGCATGCAGTGGGCTCCCCTTTGCAGTGGAACTGGAGCAGAAAGGTCTGATCAGGCTGAGATCAGTCAGAGCAAGAGCAAATTTCTCTGATGACAGCCTGTAATCACCCCAGGGCTGCCTATGGACACGGCTAAGGGGATTGATCAGGGCTCTGACATTCATGCAGGGATCTCACACATCAATCCAGCCTCTGCCTGCCACAGAAATTGTCTTTTATCACTCTCACCAATTGCTTTTCCCTGGAGCAAAGTCCTGGTACTTTTTCATTACCAGGACATGAAAACAAGGCTTAGTGACAGGGAGTGGCGCCAGTTTTTTTTTTTTTTGGTTTTTTTTTTTTTTTTTTTTTTTTTTTTTTTTTTGTTTTTTTATTTTTATTTGGTCCAGAACAAAGGCTTATTATTGACTATTTCTAGCTGAGAACCTGTACAAAATCCACCACTACAGCATCAGTGGCTTCCCAGCAGCCCACAGTGCAACACTGGTGACAGCTCCTGTCCTGTTCCAGCTGCTGGGTTTCCTCATAACAGCTGCATTTTAACAGTGTGCTCCTAACAAAACACACCCCTATTTTCTCCAGTGTTCAGAGGTCTGATTTGCTCCATGACTTTACATTTCTGTGTTTTAAAATACAAAAATAAATAAAATTAAGGAGCAAAGTAACCAGCAGCAGTCTTGCAAAGCAGCTTCCTTCTGCCTCATTCTTGGGCTGAAACCCTAGCAATGGAGGAAGTTTTTGTTCTCCTTCCCTCTGGGTTTCCTGGCCTTGTAACCCATTAATGTTCCTTTCTCCACCTGGTGTGTGCATTTCATCAGCTTTTGGAGATCACCAGGGAATGTGCATGTAGGGCTACAAACAAAGGGAAAAGGGTGAAATCTTGGTAAGGATTTTATGTTGGTGTACCTTTATAAATATTTCTGGGGGTTTATCACCAGTTATTGAGCAAAGAGAGGATGACCCCTGGTTCATTTTACACCTTTCAGATTCAGCAAAAGGGAGGAGCTCAGGGCACCCTCCTGCCTCCCTCTTCAACAAGAAGGAAAATAACTATTTCTTCTGAAGTCACTGACCCCACAAAGCAAATACTGAATTATTTGGGGGAACGTGTGTCTGCAAGGTTTCACTCAGCAGCCTCAGCTGCAGGAGCCAGGTGGATTTAGGTTCTTACACCCCAATTTTAAGTGCTTACCCAACCACGGGGTGGTAACAGGGATAACACAGAGCCTCTGCAGCTACACAGCCTGTTGTATTCCAGAAGCCTGTCAGATCAGCCTTATGGCAAGCACCATATAAATGTGTGTTTTGCACTCTCGATGTGCTCATCCCCTTTAATTCCTGCTAAATATTCCCAATTCTGTGGCTGCCAGGTTGTACCAAAAGGTCCTGGGAAAGGTTGCTGCTTTCAAATGCATAAAGATAACCTTTGAATCAGAGGCAAATGCAATTCCTGTTATTTCAGCCACCCTTGGCATTCATTCCCAAGCCCTGAGATACAGCACAGCTCCCAGGGATCACTGGAGTGCCTGGAAAGCCAGCAGGCTGAGTGCTGACAGAAATGAGTGGTTGGGAGAGGAATACATATAATTTCCATGCAAGTTTTATACCAGTGCAGTACATGAGGCAAAGCACAAACCACCTGCACATCCCAGTGCCCTGGGGCATGCCTTGCACTGGGACCAGAAGGATGTGGAACACATTTAGAGATGCGAAGCCATTACTCCTCCCATATGGTTTATTGAGGATCTCAGTTTCCAAAGCATGAGTAGCAGTGAGGCCTGTTATTCTTTCCAGCATGCAAAAGGCACAAGAAAGTCATCAATGTGATTCTGTGCAAAGTGTCCCTAAGAAAACACACAGCGAGGAAATGACAGAAAAGAGCCCCCGATGGAAGAAAGCCAAAGCGCCTTCAGGAAAGTGCTGAAAAGTTCTGAAAATGGTTGTACTTTTTCAGAGTCCAAATATGCTCAGTTGGTGAAAGATGCTTTGCAAATCCGTGAAAGAAAACTCAAGAGACAGAGCCAAAAGGCTTAAAACAATAATCTCCTTCATGTGCCAGAATTCAGGATGAAAGTCAAAATGATTTATCTCAAGGAAAAAGTGCTGCAGTTAAAGACAGACATTAAATTCTTTTAAAAAAAAGCCCACCAAAACCAGACGTAGAAAGTGGATACATTCTAAGAGCAGCTCAATAAAAAATATTCCTTTTAATGAAAATAATTTTTAAAATGGAATACTTGAAGAACAGAAATCCACCTTGACTGTGACCAGCTACTGCACCCTGCTCCGAGCACGACAACACAACGCCTTCTAGAAGAAGAAAGTCCCCACTACCTGCATGTGTGAAATGTGGCCAGTGAACAATTTGGAAACACAAACGCACAGGACCAAGTATCCAAGTCCCAGTAGTCAACTTGGGTGTTGGGAAGCCTCCTGGGATTCTGTCTGTCCCCCTGGAGCTGGTGGTGCTGGAGGCAGTGCCACTTCCCAGTGGGCAGGGCTGAGCCCATGAACCCTTGAGCCTCTGGCTGGAGTTGAATACCTAAACCTAAAAAAGGCATTTACAAGTTGACGCTTTGTTGTTGTTGTTGTTGTTGTTGTTGTTGTTGTCTTATTTCCTTGCAGTATAGGTTTCTACTTCTAGACTATGGAATGTTACATTAAACAATATAATTATTCATTACCTTGCTTCAAATTTCATTACAGTTACTGAGGCTTCATCATAATTTCACACAGCACAGAGACACCAAACTAAACACCAAGCAGTCAGCACTAGATGTATTTTTTCTTTAAGTACCAATAAGCAAAATATCCCATTCCCCCCAGAGATCCCATCAGGAAGGAGGCTCCAAGGAAGGAGGGAGGTTTCCGCTTGACCAGCCTGAAGGCGTTGGGTACCACTGCAGAGAGCAGCGTGGTGTGGATGTCTCCCAAAACTTTCCTGAAGGCGAAGCGTTTCTGTATCCTGTCAAAGAAGGACTGTAGGTTGGGTCTGCTGCCATCCTCCCAGTATTTCTTAGAGAGTCCCAGAAACTTGAGGCGGTGCAGGGTGGCTCCTAACAAGACATCGGCCAAAGTGAAGACGCATCCGCAGAGCCAAAGTTCACATTTCTGCCCTGGAGAGAGAAGAGACAGAGCAGAGGTAAGAATCCCTTGGAGGGACACCTAAAATCTTGCTCAAAAGGTCCACATTGGCAGGAGAATTTATAGATCTGGGGTGTTTTTCCCAGCTCTTTGTTGGGCCAGGAGCTCAGAGCCCATCTACTGTGATGGAGAGTCTGGAGTGCCAAAAGCTGGGAATAGGAGATGATGATTGATGATGATGTGATGTGAATACACAAATTACTGGCTGCAAAGCAGCTATGCTGCCTCTCCCCCAAGTCAAGAGCAGTAGGAGATCCCTGGAAAAGAGCCCTTTGCTCCCCTTGAAGGAAGATGCTGTGCAGTGACCCCTCCTGCTGTGTCAGTGCTCGGGGACAGCAGCAGTGTCTGCCCTTGGCAGCACCAGGAGCTGTTTCAGGAGTGTCACGTCAACCTGGCCTATTTTAGGGATATGAGAAATCCTCAGGAATCAAAACCATTTGCTGCATGGCCTGGCTGCTCTCCTGTGTGTGCTGAGGTTCTGCCTTTGTTCTCTCTCCTGTACCAGGGACCCTGCTCCAGGACACCAAAACTGGCAGCACCTCTGTGTCAATACCCAGGATTTTGGGGAGACAGAGCTCAGGGTGAGTGCAGGACATGAAGAAAGACACTGAAGGGGTGAGAACCCCTGATAATGGGTGATCCCAGAAATAACCCCACTAGAGAGACATCCAAAAATAAACCAAGCTGCTCTTAGGCTGGAAAAAGCAGTTTCAGGCCAGGATATTGTTAAGCACTCCCTCAGTGCCCTTTCAATACCGAGGAGCTGGGCTGGGATGGAGCTGAGGGAGATGAAAGAAGGTGCAGGTAAAGAACATCAGAAGGGACACAAAAATCCACCCTCAGTCAGCTTTGCTCCAGATTCCTGATTCTGGGGCTCTTCATTGTGCTGTGGCTATTGTGTCAGGAAAGAGGGGCTCCATTAGAGCACCCCAGGGCAGGCACTGCAGCTGCTGCAGGACCAGGCTGGGGCAATTATGGGTAATTAGCAACCTTCATTTGTGGCTGCTTGGCAGCCTGCCAGATCCTGTTGGAGGCACTGCCCAAGTGGACAGATTGCCTGTGCCTAATTAATCAATAAATATTTTCAGTGACTAATGACTCGTGCTGGTGCTGCAGCCAGAGCTTCTCGGGTGTGCTGGGACCCTGTGGGTGCTGCTGCTCAGCGGTGAGGGGAGCAGGGCTGGGGCAGCTGCATCACTCCAGGAGCTGCTGCAGGTGAAGGAGGAAGCACATGAGGGGATGGTGAATTCAGGAGAGAGCTGTGATCCAGCCCTGTCCCTCCTGGCTCTGGCTGGTACTTCTGCTGAGTCTGGAGCCCCTTGCAGCCCTGCTCAGCACCCAGTGGGGTGGAAGCACAGACACCTCTTCTCTTTGCATGCCCAGCAGCCCCAGCTGGGCTCAGTCTGTCCCTGCTGAAGGGGGTGCCTGTGGCTGGGGTCTCCTGGTGCTGCTGCAGCACTTCCCACCCTGCTCTGCTGCAGCCTGGGCTGCGTGGGAGCAGAGCTGCTGCACTGCAGCTCCTGGGAGCTTGCCAAAGTGGCGATCCTGCCCACTGCTGACATCCTGACCATGGGCACAGGGTGGGAGTTTGGGGCTCTGGAGCAGAGGGCAGGAGCAGCACACCAGGACTGAAGGCATTGGAGCACCTGGGTGCTGGCAATGCAGCAGCAGTGATGCCTCTGCTCCAGGCACCTGGGATGTCCTCCCAGGGCACCTCATTAGGCTGAATTCTGCTGTCCCAGCCATCACAGTGGTTAATGAGGGTGTTTGAGGAAATTAGGGCAAGGCAGGATGCCACAGTGAGCACATCAGGGCTCCTGGTAAATCCCCAGCCCCCTGCCCTGCAAGACCCCACCTTGGCACCTCCGAGGCTCTCCAGGGTGGCCTTGAGTGACGCAGGGCTCCCCGGGGCAGGGCCAGCTGTGGGACCATCCCCTCACTGACTGTGCCTGGGCTCTGCTCTGCACCTGCCCCTGGTGCTGGCAGCCCTCGGGGCCGGGGCTCTGAGCGCTGCCAGCAGTGAGGCACAGAGGAGGAAGGCTGGCATCACCCAGGGTGATGGCAGGACAAGCACTGCCCAGCTGTGCCCAGGCACCCCTGACTGCCAGGGCAGCTCTGGGCAGGCTCCCAGCACCGTTGTTGGCTGTCAGGGATGGCTGGTGTCCCTGTCTCCCACCTGCTGGTCTGTGACGCAGGCTCTGTAAGGGCTCTGCCCTCCAGGGCCCCTCAGATTCCTGGGTTTCCCTGCCCGTGCTCCTCTGGGATGTGCCACAGCCTGGTGATGTGAGGGTTTTCTGTGGCACACGTCCCCATCTCTGCACTTTCAGCTCCTCGTGGTGCTGGGGCCAGCCTGCTGCTTCCTAAGCCAGTCAGAGCATCAGTCACTGTCAGTCCCTTGCTGGGGTAAAGGGCACCTGCCATCACCCTGAGGTGACTTTGGGGCTCCCAAAGAGCACCCATGAGGACTGGGCTCCTGCTGTTCCCTGTGGCAAAGGGTGCAGGGGTGGTTTGCCACAGGTTAGTAAGAGCATGGCTGCAACAACATCAGTGTACCCAAAAGCAGGAGAGCCCAGAGGCAGCCCCAGACCCGGCAGTGGTTGTTCCATGGGAGCTGTTCATCAGGTGCAAATCTTGGCTGTTTCTGGTGTTGCACCTCAGCCTCGTGTGGGAGCACAGCCCAGTGCCTACCTTGGTATTCCAATTTCCTTTTCTCCAGCTCAGCCTCAATCTGGTCGAGCACCATCCCAAGTTCTCCAAGGATCTTCTTCAAGTAGTTCACATTGTCGTGCTCCAGGATCTTGGCCTGGGTGGAGAGCCGGGTTAGAATGTGGAATAAGTGGATGCAGGGATACAAAGCACCAGGTGCCCATGGCAGGTCTGTGTTCCCCCAGCACCAGGGATGTGTGTGGCTTTCACCCACTCACCATGAGCTTCTTCTGCTTGGAGAGGTAAGGCTCAGAGAGCTGTGGCTCCTCTTCATGGTCCAGCTTCATCAGGTCCGTGGTGGCATTAGCTAAATGTCCTGGAGGGACACAGAGAGGCTGGGATGAGCCATGTGTGTGACAGCAAATCACCTCATCCTGCAGCCAAAATATGGCTGTAGCACCAAGGGAAAACATCCCAGAGATCTAAAACGGGCCAAATCCATGGCTTGCTGCTGCTGTGCTCCCACATCTGAGGGTGTGTGTCTCCCTGCACCCAGGGATGTCACAGGGCAGGGCTGGCTCCAAGGTGTGGCCAATCCCCCTCCCTGTGGTGATTCCCAGCCTGGGAGCTTCAGCTCCTCATTTCCCCTGCTGGATTCACACTAGAGCTGATGAAGCTCTGTCTGTTGCTTGCTGGTTAAGCACAGCCCTGGGCTTGCCCATAACCTGATCCCTGCAGCTCCATCCCCAGCAGGCTGAGCCTGTGGGATGTCTGAGCTGGCTGCCCACACTGGGGTGTGCATTCAGAGCAGTGGGGCAGGGAGGGAGTGCTCCCTCCTGGGTGAAGATGTCCCTCCCTGGCTGGGTGTTTGGGGCTGCAATTCCCTGGTGTGGGGCCCATCATGGGCATGGAGAGATGCTCACTCACCCCTCTGCCTCTCTGGGCACAGGGAGGATGGGAAGGGCTTCGTGCAAGGGAGCTAAAGAAGGGAAAGGGGCAGAATGAAAGGAAGAAAGGAATCCTAGAGGCAGAGTAACCTAAGGGATAGCATAAATTACCCAAAGTTGGGCTAATATCATCCAGCCAGGGACCATCTGTCTTTCCCTCCTTGTTCCTCCACCAAGGGAGGCCTTGGCTCTGCCAGGGTGCTGATGCAGGAGGTGCCAGGGCCAGTGGGGTGGGAGCCAGCAGCAGGCTGTGCACTGCTATAAAATGCTGAAATTCCCATTTCTGCCATCAGCTTGTGCTTGCTAAGGCTGCCAAGCAGCTCTCCTGGGGCTGCAACTCAGATGGAGACCTGGATATCATCCTGATTTCATTCCCCTTGCGAGAGCCTGGAACCTGGGTTCACCCTCTCCTTGGGACACCACAACATGGATTCCCCTCAGCACCCACTGCAGCAGGGCAGCTGAGCCATTGCCTGGGGGCAGGAGATGAGCTGGGGAGGAAGGACACCATCAGCCCATGGACCTGCTCATACCCCTTGTGTGGCTTGGGAAAATGCCACCAGTGACAGGGTTAGGACAAGGAGATGTGTCCAGAGACCTCAGCAGAGTGCTGGGGAGGTGATGTGAGGCAGGTGGGGGCTGAAGCCATCACAGCCACACCCTTTGGGGAAGGAAGGGGCTCTGGCCTACATCAGCACAGGATCTGGGGGTGGAGGTGGCACTTGGTGACATGGGGACAGCTGTCTGTGATGGGTGTCAGCAGAGGCAGGGCAGACCACAAGCTGCACCTCAGGAACTGCCTATTTCTCTCTGTGCACAAGTGCATCCCACCCCAGCAGGGCCATCTGAGACCCAGACAACCGAAGGAATGGGGCTGGGAACAGTGTTTTCAATGGGCTCAGCTTGGGGCTGGACCCTAAAGGAAGGGAGAGACCTGGGATGTGCCAACACCCTCCTGACAAGGTCACTTTTCTGGCCAGGAATTCTCTCCAGGAGCAATCCCTGCCATTGAGTTATATTAAGCATCGTCAATGTTTCATGAGCACTTGAAGGTCAGGTACACAGACTTGTGCCGATTCATCCCCTGCCTGCAACTCAATCTGGCTGCTCCCTCCTCTGCCCTTAGAGTTATTGCAGGGAGAGGGGCAAATTCCTGTGCTCCTGAAAGAGCTGAGTAGAAGCATGGGGGCCCAGACACCCCCTGAGTTAGGAAGTCTTTCCAGGATGCCTGCAATTTCCAGGTCAGAGCTGAGGAGAAGCATGGGGGCCCGGACACCCCCTGAGTTAGGAAGTCTCTCTAGGATGCCTGCAGTTCCCAGATCAGGGAATTGCACTTGTGTGGGTGCTGCAGGCAGAGCTTCTTGGGTGTGGTGGGGACCCTGTGGGTGCTCCTGCGTGCTTTGCCATTTCCCAGCTGTCCTTTGGGAGGAAGGGGAGACGAGCAGGAACACGGTGGGCTGTGGAGCCCAGAGGAGCTGGGCAGCCCCCCGGGAAGGCAACTGACTTACTGCGGATCTCAGTGGTGGCGTACTTTGGGATCATGGAGTCGGTGGTGAGCTCGGGGTGCAGGATGCAGCCGTGCGTGTAGGCGTCCATGGGCAGCGAGTCCAGCAGCTCCCGGTACTGCAGCACCCGCGAGTGCAGCGCGCTGCCCGGCTCGGGGATCAGCTGCGGCACGTTCTCTGCACGGCCAGGGAAACGGTGTTATTGGTCAGACACGGCGGAAATTCTCCAGAGCAAAAATCGGTTTTGATTTAGGTGAAATGCACATCTATCGCTGTACAAATCACCAACAGGATGGGACTGCTAGGAACGTGCCTGGAGCTGTTTTATTTTTCAGTATCAGTCTCATTGTATGGTTATGACAATGGGAAGATGTAGGGGGATACATTATGGGTAAATGAAGAATGAAGAATGTAATCTTATTCTCCAAAGAGTTGCAGCTGAACCAATGACTAAAGATGAGGAGCAGGCCTGATGTTAACAGGCCACACCTATAGCCAATAAGAAGAGTGGTAGAAAAGAGTGGATTGGGGGGAACTGGAGTCAGTTGGCTACTGCAAGGACAAGGAAGAGTCAGTGCCTTGAGGAGCTGCCTACAGGAAAACATCAAGGCGGTACAAAACTCTAGAAACTCTAGAAATATGGAACCCTTGTAATGTAATGACAATAGAACTTTTGCAATATAATGACAACAGGAAGATGCCACCAGCTTATATCCCAGGCAGCAGACTGAGAACTTAATGTTACAACTTACTTTATACGTTTTTTGACCAATCACACAAAGCAAAAGCACATTGACAGTAGTTCTATCCAACCACTATAAGCACATATACCTTGGGTTAAAACAATGCTTGCTTATTTTGAATACAATAATATTTGGGCAGTATTTCATCCAGGCAGGAGCCTTAAAACACAATGCACAGAGCTCCATTATTAAGCTTAATACTTCCTAATATCTTGCTAGATAAACTTTTCTGTAGCTTAAGGTGTTATTCTAGACAAACATTAATGCACAACCACTGTTCTATTTGTCCTTGCTTTTCTACTTTTTACGTAATTCTTCTGCTGATCTATCTCATGGCTACTGCTTAGCTCTAATCACAGTTCTGCTCTCTCTGAGGCCTGCCTTTTGCAGCTTTCCCAAAACTTTCTGATTTATGGATTCCCACACATCTTTGAGTTAAGTCTGTAGCTTGAAAACACAGGTGTTTAGTCTGACTGCCTGTTCTTGTAGAAAGCCAATGCTCAGAGAAAGTTCTTCAGCCAAAGGATAGAGATAAGGGGGGCAGAGAGAGAGACTGTTATAGAGGGGCAGCCTGACCCAGGAATTCCTTCTGATAAAGAAGAATTAGCGGCCAATGTCACGTGAAAACATTAGAATGAATATGTGTGAACCTACTGTGAAATGGCATGCATGTGTATTTGAGAGAGAGAGATAAAAAAGGATCTCGAGTTCCCAGAGGTACACATATATTTTGAAGGGAGCAGTCCCCACATGCCTCCAGCTCTGTAATAAACATACCAGCTTCACAACTTTCATAAAAGTTGTGGAGTTTGTTTTGCTTCCACAAATCAGCAGCACCTGCGAGGGCTCAGGTGCTCCTTAGCGGCTACTCAGCTGCTCGGGACAGACAGCAGGGAGCAATCCTGCTGGGATAGCAGGGCTGCCAGGGGCAGAGCTTTCACTCGAGTCTGCCAGCTCTGCCCTCGCCCTCCCTGCTGCCCATCCCAGCCAGGAGTGCAGCCAGCCCGTGCCCCGAGATGGGCAAACCCACAGGATCACAGGGCAGTGTAGGGATGTCATTACCCAGCCCCACAGCCCTGCTGTTCCCTGGGGTCAGTGCAGCCAGCCCTGATCTCCACACTCTAATTTCATGTCTCTTAGAATGGGAGAAAAATCTTCCTGGTCTGCAGAAAAGAGCTAAAAGATGGGGATTTGAGTTTAGGATCTCTTGAGTTACATGTTCTTTACCCCAGTGGTAGTGAGGTACCTCGTTCTCTTGGGCTTCCTTAAAAATCCCCAAATGGGCAATCAGAGTAGATGACCAAAGAAGCCCAGTGCATCTTCCCTCCATGCTCAGCTGCAGGAACATCCCTTGCCCTGGCTGGCTTTGCTCCTCCCTGCCTTGTTGGGTTTTATTCACTTTCTATGGATAATAATTTGCATTGTGCCTTTTATTACACTGTCAGCTCAAAATACATGGCAGGTGACACGAGAAGAAGCAAAACATTGCTCTTGTCTCCCCCAAGATTTTGAACTCTCCCAGGTTTTTAAGGGACCATAAATGTTTATAGTGTCTACAGGCAGTGAGTAAATCCACCACCAAGACTCTGACTGTTGTTCACATCTTGCCTGCAGCACTGGGCTCTCCACATCCCAGTGTCCCCACTTGAGTTGGGTCATTTTGGCAGGATTTAGCAGATGTGAGCAGGGCAGTCCCTTGTCTGAGGGCCTGAAGTGACAGGAGCTGGTGGCAGGAGCTGGCCTTGCCATTACTGTGCCTGCTGGTACCCATGGCTGGATGAGAACCAGGCAAATTTTGGTACCCCCTGTACTGGAAATCTCATGGCTCTGACCCAGCCTGTCCCTGCTGGAAGGCTCCACAGAGTTATTCCCATTGATAGGCACCAGTGTCACTGTTCCCAGAGCAAAGGGAGGTTTTGGTGGCTCCTCCCTGCCAAGGGCTGCTCCCTGCCTGCCCTGTCTGGGCTCCAGCTCTCCAAGTGGGGATTTTCCACCCGAGAAAAGTGACCAGATGAGTGAAACAACAACTGACCTACAGCTTGTGTGCTCCTTCCACAGGGCTCCTGGCCAGCAGCCAAAGGGCTGGGGCTGAGGCTGGGAACAGCACATGCAGAGGGACTGCTCCATCCCGCAGGAAGATGGAGCAACCACAATGAAATAGCAGCGTGCTGGCCACCAGCCCACGTCCTTCAGCATGTTCCAGGGAGGTTTTTCATTGGGATGGCCTGACTTGCCTTTACATGCCACAGCAACCTGCACATAGAGGCTGCTGTTGCACTCTGTGGCTATGCAAGGGGGTGCAGACCTTGGAGGACACTCCTGCCTGGAAGAAATATTGCCCTGAGCAGTTTCTGGCTTTTTGGGCACTGCTGGGCAGTGTCCTAGTGAGAAACATCCTCAAATGTGGCTTATTGGCACTATTCACTGCTATTTTTGGGAAAATGAAAACATTTACCCACACACTACCCTTTACTGATAGCTGGACCCCAGTGTGTGTAAGCAGCTGATAAAGGCCATGCCCTTAGCCCAGGGAAAACACAGCTCAGTAAAAATACCCTGTAAAGGCCTTTTCAAACTGTACACATCTCTGCAAGGTGGCTGATTCCCCCTCAGATCAGCACTGCCACATCCTGGCAATGCTTTTGGCAGCTGCACTGCTGGGTGATGTGATGGAGCAGGGAGTGATGCTCTGGGCCCTCTTTCCTGGAGCTTCCCCTCTCCATTTCCCAGCAAAAAGATCAGAAACCGCACCTGGCTGGAAAACCTCAATGACAGGAGTTTCCCAGTGCTCGGACAGCTCTGTGTGCCCCTCCTGCTGGGGACAGCCTGTGGTCACATATGTCAGACCACCTGCCCTTAGCAGAGACCAGCTGAAGTGGTGCAGGGACTGACACCCCCTGATGTCCCCCGTGCTGGGGCTGCTGCCAGGCAGGAAAGCAGCTGCCATTCCCTAGGACGTGCTGTTGGTGTGGGATTCTCCTGCTTGCCCCTCTGGGAGGGATCTCTGTGCCTCCATGGAGCAGCAGCGCAGTGGTGGGGCCAGGAGAGGACAGCAGCTGAGCTGGCAAGGAGCCCTGGCTCCGGGAGCTATTTTGAGATGTTTTTGATGTCTCTGTTGCAAGGGGATGGATGCTGGGCTGAACATCGTGATGGCAAAGCCCAAGATCCCTGCTCAGCTTTGAAGCCTGCCCTGTGGGTGTCCCAGCCCAGCAGCCCCAGGATTGGGGGGATGAGGGTGAAGGGGTGTGAGATGCCAGGGAGAGGCTGCTGAGCAAAGCTGGCTTTGAGCTCTGCCTCAGCATCCCAGTGTGCCAGGCTCAGCAGGCCTGCAACCCTGCTCCAGGGGAATGTGAGCTTCCCTCTCCTGGCTGTCCCTTCCTCTGGGTTTGTGTCACATCATCCTCCCATGGTCCTCAGCACTGCTGGCTGGTTTTCACTTTTAAGAGGCTGTTTTCTCAGAGGCACAGCAGGGACAGCAGGGTACCCTGGCCCAGGAATCCTGGAGGAAGCAGGGAGAGGAGCAGCAGCACACAGCTTACACCCACCTTCTTTCAGCAGAGGCCCTTTTGCCCCTTTATACAATTACCCAGGGACAAAGCACAGATGTGTCTAAAGTCAGAAGCGCTCCCATGGGCTGTGCCCCAGTGGGGACTCTGGTGAAATGCCACCATGCACCGTGGGGACTGAGAGAAATTGTCTGGTTTGGAAGCATGACTTCCAGGACAGAAAAAGGGGAACTTAGCTGCCACACCCCTCAGAGCCCTCCAGCAAGGGATTTCTGCTGGAAATTCTTGAATTTCATGGGAAAACATAGAAGTCTGGGGAGGGCTGGTGTCTTGCTGATTTTCTGGGGTGAAGATGAAACTTTAAAGGAAAAAAGTAGATCAGTTTAAAATGTGGACTAGACAAGAATTTCCTCTGAGGCAGAGCCCAGCCTTGCCTTACCTCCTGTGAAGTTCTTCTCCATGTAGTCGATGATCTGGTTGTAGTCGCTGATGATGTTGTCCCTGTGGATGATGACGGGCACCTCCTCGCCCAGGTTGAGCCGCATGAACCAGGGCTCCTTGTGCTCCATCAGGGGCATGCTGACGTCCCGCTCCTCGCAGGGCAGCCCCTTCTCTGCGATCACCAGCCGCACCTGGGGCAGGCAGCCAGGGAGAAAGGGCTCAGCCAGCACTCCGAGCTGCTCTCCAGTCCCCACTACCCCATTACACCCCCAGACCCTTCCCTAAAACTTAAGCACAGTTGAAGTTAACTTAAACTTAATCCTGACGTGCCAGGATCACGGGCTTGCCCTGCAAGAAGCCAAGCAGCTGTGGCCATGGGACAGCTGCAAAGAATTTGTTTTTCTGGCAAAGAGGGGATACCTAAACCCATCCTGTGTTCTCAGAATCATAGACCATCCTCCCTGGTCCCGGTGGCCTGTGTGACAGGCAGAGGAGAATCAATCCCTCATGGGTGGAGGGAGGCAGGAGCTCTCCAGCTGGGGCAGTGATGCTGCTGTGGATCCCAGCACACACTGAGGAAGAAAAGGAGGAGGAAGAGGAGGAAGAGGAGGAAGAGGAGGAAGAGGAGGAAGAGGAGGAAGCAGGGCTGCAGCAATGTTATGCTTACACGTGTACCCAGTGAGTGCTGCTGGCTGGCTGAAGGAGACCTGGATGCTGACTCAGGTATGTTCCACTCTCAGGAGTGGACTCTGCTTTTGCCAGGTGAAGGCTCTGTTCTGTGAGAAGTTCCAGGCAGCCCCTGTGACCCTGCACAGCATTCCTCCTCCTCCTCCTCTTTCTCCATGCTGACATTATCTCGAGGGCATCACCCAGCACCTTCACACCTCTTGTGTCAAACCTGCTGCCTCCCCCTTCCCCTTCCCCTTCCCCTTCCCCTGCCCTCCTCCAGCCCTGGGCCTGCCCAGCACGGCAGGGATGGCACCCACACATCTCAGGGTGGGAAAGGTGACTCTTGCCTTGCAGAGGGGCAGGAGGAGGCAGGAGTGCGGCTGAATGTGGGACACCATCACCATCCCCACCTCAGGGCTGATCCTGCTGCTCTGCTCTGTGCATGAGACAGTGCTGAATATGCACTCAGGGATGGCATTTTGGGCTTCTGGGTTATAAAACCTGACTATTATGAACTAAGTATGTCAAACACAAAAAAAAAAAAAAAAAGCCCACGGGGGATGTGAGAAAGCCATGATTTACAGAACCACTGAATGAGGCAAAAGTACTTGTTTTCATCCAACTAGCAGCAGCTAAAAATACAATTTAACATATATAAGCCTTTCTGTGAGTACTTCAGAGTTCCTGGGGAATTAGTCATTAATTATTCACAGGACTGGCAAGTTAATTTTTTTTCTTTTAAAGTCAAACAAGAGAAACCCTGGTTCCTCCTGGTTCCTTCCTTCCAAGAGAAAGGGTTCCTCAACTGCAACTCGCCCCTGGCCTTTTCCTCCCAGCTGATAAATAAACCTCAGCCAGCACCACCCGGGGTATCCAGTACCACCCGGGGTATCCAGTACCATCAGGGGTATCCAGCCCCAGGCTCCCCGTGCTGCTTTCAGGAGCTGAAGGCCTGGCAGGAGGCAGCCGGGGTCCCTGCCAACACCCCAAAGGGGATCCCAGGCTGGGGTGACAAAACATTCCCGGGAATTGCGTGGGGAGCCGGGCACGAGCATCCCCGGCAGTGCGGATCCCGCCGACCATGTGCAGCCCCCTGCTGCATCGGGCATCCTCCCTCCTTTGTGTCTGC